GAACAATTAATTTTCATGCTTTTTTGCTACTTTGGAGATTCGAAGCCACCAATTTTGTCAATAAATTGTGCATTTTTTGGCTTATTTTATGATGCGGGTTTCCGCCATTTTTTCCCGTCTGCATTTGGCTCATTTATGTAATTTCCCGATTTCCACAAGACAGTCCCCATGTGAATCCGGCAAATCCGGTATCGATTTTGTGATTAGCCTTTGAGCTGAAAGTGATACGGAATTTGCATATTCCGGCAGTACATTTCAGGACCGATTTCGACGTTCGACTGCATCCCACCTGGCAGCTTCTTGAAGGAATTGGGCAGATTTATCAAGATCTTCAACATTCTCTAGCTTTCATGTTGGTTAGAATGGTGCCAAATGTACCAGAAGCCAAGGGACACCAGGAAAATGGGCTCAAACGTCTTCTGAGAGAGTTTAAAAAATGTTTTTCTGCAATTTTCCTCAGTTGGAGAACTAGTGAGGTTTCTGGAATTTCTTAAAGGTTCGATGTAATTTAGAAAATTGACTCAAATGTGCCCAAACGACGCAAAAGAAGCCGTGGTTATCAGGTTCAGAAAATTTCAGTATATACAAAAAGCTGGGAAAGTTTCTGGCAGTTTTCAGAATTTTAAACAGGAACCACAAAATCTGCAAGTTTGTGGTTTAATGCCGCGCTTTAATGGAGTGTTTTGAACATGTTAAATTTTGAAAAATTGAAATCTCAAAAGCTGAAAAATATTTAAGGCTGTAAGTTCGGCTGTTTATAGAGGAAGCCTTTTTTATTAAGCGTACAAAAGTTTAATAGAATCACAGTTTTAGTTCAGTGTCCGGAATTTTTTGAAAAATTTAGAAAATTGATCAAATTTTGGGTATTTTTAAAGTCTCAATTAGTGGATGTACAAAACTTGAATCCGTTCGTAGTGTTGGTGAGCTTTCTGAAATTTTGCGAAATCTCGGCGTAATTCAGCAAATAGTCTCATGTTTAAAACTTCATATCGCCCAAACTAAAGCAAATTTATCAGCGCAATTTCGACCGACTATGAAGCGATTAAGCTTGCAAAATTTCAATAAATTTCCAGTCCTGTAGGAAAAGGGCAAACTTTTTGGGTTGGCAATAAGTGGTTAAATGAGGCGAGAAATAAAAAGCGAATACATTTCCTGAGTTAAAGCAGCAATTAAACTAACAAATGCACAAATAAGTTCACGTTGTCACGTAAGAAGGCCATAAATCCTCTGTCAATTTGAGGCGGAAGGGCTCAAGCCCCTGGACTCAGTCAGCGGTAGCCTTCACTGGTCTCTGTTAACATAAAATGTATCCGAAAAGGGTTGAAAGCCTCGCATGCCAATGGCATATTTATCATATCCGATGTTAATCATTTAGAGCCGCTCACAATAGTTTTAATCCGCAGAGTAAATACAGGTAAAGAGCCTTTGAGCCTTTGTACATTTTTGATTCAGAAAAGGCCATTCTTTTGAAAATTCGCGTTGCAGCTATTTCCATTTTCGGTTGTGTAGGGTTTTTAATTTGCCACTGTGCTGATTTCATCTAACTCGACGCATTTCGATTTACCGGCTCTCTGTGTTCCTTTGGAAAACATATAGGGATTTGCGTGAATTATGCCCCGGCAATCCTGCTGTGATTGTATATGGGTTAAATTGGGAAAAATCATCACTTTTAACGGGAAATCAATTTGGACATTTGTGGAGGAGGCTGCTGATAAATCAACAGGAAATAAAACATTGAAAATGCATTCAATTCAGTTTTGCTGGATCGTTGGAAGGATTAATCAGCTCAGCGTAATTTAGGCAACATATTAAGACAATGCCTGCGGCATTGTCATTTCAGGCAGCAATTGTTCAAAATACAAGAGAACAGTAAAACCAACAAAACTTACAGTAAATATAGAGT